ACTGCTAACCAGAAGGCTGGCGGTTCAAGCCCTCCAGCCACTCCTCGGAAGGAAGATGGGCAATCTACTTCTGTAGTGATACTGCCTCGGAAACCCAAGGAGGGGTCGCTATGAGTTGGGTCCGACTTGACAGCACATAACAAGAACAACAATGGCTAATGATCCTGAACATTTCTTCATTTGTTTGTTGGCCATCTGAATATCCTCTTCAGTGAAGTGTGTATTCATGTCTTCTACCCATTTTTGAATTGTATTATTTGTCTTTTTGTTGTTGAGGTGCTGGAGTTGTCTATAAATTTTAGAGATAAGGACGTTGTCAGATCTGCATTGCTGAATACTTTTTTCAATTCTGTAGGTTCTCTTTTGACTCTTTTGGAGAAATCTTTGGAAGCACATAAAAATTTAACTTTTAGAAGGTGGAAACGTATAGATCTTAAAAAGCAGTTTAATGATTTTTGTTAATTATGTACATGTATGTAACCTCCAGGAGCTCTGGTAACATAGTGCCTAAGGTGCTTGACTGCTGACCAGAAGTCTGGTGGTTCAAACCCACTAGCTACTCCTTGGAAGGAAGGTTGGGCAATCTACTTCCGAAGTGATACCACCTCAGAAACCCAAGGAGGGGTCGCTGTGAGTCAGGTCCGACTTGATGTCACATAACAACAACAATAACATGTAACTGCCATTCATAACAAGTTCTCTTCTCCTGTACTTTTCTACTTAGTCTATTCACTGTAGCAACAGCTATTTTCTGATTTCTGTCACTTTAGATTACTGTCCCTGCTGGTGGAGTATTTTCTGTATAATATTGGTTGGGTATGTTTTTATAAGGTGATACTGAAATGTTTTTGAGGAAATCATAGACTTTTCTAAGATGAAGCTTTTCCTGATCAGATACTAGTGAGTTCTTAGAATCAGTGGTCCAGTTTGGTTTCTCCACAAAACTATTTAATGAAATTTAGTCTCAGTCTTACTTTGTTGTTTCTGTTCTTATTTGAAAAAAAAAAAAAAAAATTAAGTTTTTCTTTAGGTAACTCTGTAATCTTGTTTTACTTGGCTCGTTATGTTATTGTTAATTAAATTAGTTGTTTGTTGAAAATATTTGATTGTATTTGTACATGCCATAGACTTTGAAATACTATCTTTAATTCCTAGAATTTTAAATTGTGTCTTGTGATTATTATTCCACTTCAGCTGAATGTAAAAAACTTGTATTTATTGTACTTTTATGGTAATGTTAGAACTTGACATTTGGATTTCTCAGTTTAGAAGATACTAATATGAGTTTGATCAAATATTCTCCATACTTATTGTTAATACAACCTAATTTTAAGTATTTAAAATTTATCCTGATAAAGTGTCTAGTAATGTTAGTTGATAAAGTAATGTAAGTTGCCTTTTAAACTATTTTTAAGTATACAATTCAGTAGCATTAATTACTTGTGTCTTTACTTTTGTTTGAATGACCTTAGTACTTAAACATTAAAGCATCATCTTTAAAAATGTAGTTTTTATTTTGTATTCCAGTTCATTCAGCCTCAACAGAACTGACAGTGTCTACGGCAAAAGAAGAGGAACCTGATAATCTAGTTAAATATTTCAGTGTTGTTTGGTGTAAGGCTTCAAAGAAAAAACACAAAAAGTGGGAAGGTGATGCTGTTCTTATTGTAAAAGGCAGGTCACTTACATTAAAGGATTTGGAAGGCAAAGACATTGGAAAAGGTATTTTGCTGTTTATGATTTGGCCTGAAATTAATGTGTATCCCTGGTTACACTATGGAAATATAATTATAAATGAAATTTTATAATCATTTTATAAAATGGATAGATTAAAATGTTCTTTAAGTGACTTTCATACCTAAACTGTATATGATGAATAAAATTATCTTACAATATTTAGTCAATATGACAATCTTCATGACCTATGCTAACTCACTGAAGCAAATCCCATGTAATGGTTTCACTTTTTCTGAAAATGAAATGGTCTACCAGTGCTAAATAGCATTTTGCCATTTTTCTGAAATTCACCTTAGTATACTTTTGTCCCTCTTACCCCCAGCAATGTTAAGTGATTAGAAATTTAAAAGATACTTATATCAGAGGTTAAATGATAACTAATTCAATGACACCCAATTTAAAATTTTGGAAAAGAAAAGAAAAATATACAAGGAAATAGTGATTTGGCATGACCCAAATTAATATATCCAAATTATAAGTCATTATAATTTAGTTTCTAAAATATTGGCAGCATGACTTGTTCTAATACAGTTATATCTACAACTTCAGAATGCCTAAGCTTCAGCCTTAGTATTTTGCATTGTCTCTTCAATGCAACTGTTCAATTTAGGATGTGGCCCATAATTATAATCTCTATTTTGCATGTTCATTCCTTAGTTTTAAAATATCATAGTTTATATAGTTTTTGAGTGACTATTATATGCCAAGTCCTGTGCTAGGAATGGAGATTCAATAATGAATGTGATTTATAGTTGTATAGCATAATTTACTTCTATAGTGATACCAGAGGAGTTCTGGTAGCACAGTGCCTAAGGCACTTGACTGCTAACCAGAAGGCTGGTGGTTCAAGCCCACCAACCACTCCTCGGAAGGAAGGTTGGGCAATCTACTTCCGTAGTGATAACCGCCTTGAAAACCCAAGGAGGGGTCGCTATGAGTCAGGTCCGACTTGATGGCAAATAACAACAACAACAGTGATACCATATCGGAAACCCAAGGGGAGGGGTTGCTGTGAGTCGGATCTGACTCCAAGGCAGTGAGTTTGGTTTGGTTTTGGTTTATAGGGATGTGGCAGTGTAATTGATACTTAGGAAGCAATACGTAACTGTTTCATTGAGGAGTTTCACAAAGCACAGTGGATACATGGAAGGACCATTTTTAGGAGAAGTCTTCGTAAATGTTATTTTTTAGGTAAATTTTGAAGGATGAAATTGTGGAGGTTGTGGGGAAGGGGCATATGCTAGGAAAAGGGAATAACAGCTTTATGCAAATGAAAAAAGCTTTGAGAGAATGAAAACTAGTTCACTGTTTTAGGAAAGTAGTATATGAAGGACAGTGACAGTGGCAAGAATTGAGACTGAACTATCTGCAGCAGAATGTTTTATTTATTATAAAAATATTGAATAGCTATTGCATAATTAGTTTTATTCTCAGATTTTGGAAGAATTAAAAAGACAACTATACACCACACATTCCATGTTGTTGGTGAAGGTAGATTGGGGCAAGATTTTTGGAGAACTTATTCATGTAGTGGTGTTGCATCTTTAGTGAAATTTTGTTCTAAAGTTAGCCAAAAATGATCAAAATTACCCTGGAATGTCTCTTGCCAATAAAGTAGAATAGACATGGTTTTGTGTACGTATAAAACAAAACCAAACTCTTTTCCGTCAAGTAGGTACCTACTCATAGCTACCCTATAGGACAGAGTAGAACTGCCCCATAGGGTTTCAAAGGCTGTAATCTTTATGAAAGCAACTGCCATATCTTTTTCCTTTTGAACAGCTGATAGAATCAAATTGCCAGCCTTTCAGTTAGCAGTCAAGCACTTCATCATGGTGCCACCAGGGCTCCTTGTATACATATAGTTTATAATAAAATGACCTTTCAGTTTCAAGTAGCAAAAAAAGATAATATAGGCTTAAAGCAGTGGTTTCTCACTCTGATTACTTAGAAGAATCACGTGAGGTACTTTTTAAAAATGTGTCAATGCCCAGTCCCTAACCTGAGACTCTGATTTAATTGGCCTGAGTGGTGGGGAGAAGGGATTGGATAAAGGTATATTTTAATTTCCCAGATAATTCTAATAGCCTGCCAGGAGTTGAAAACCACTGGTTTAAACATTTGCTTTCAAAATCCATCCAACCATAGGACTTGGTTGCATAATTATAACATTAATAAATATATCAACCCAGAGTTGTGAGTTGTTGCCTACAATCAAAGTGATTTTTCTTTTAAATGATTTGGGTATACAAAATTTAAATATTGTTGCAATAGGGATAGAAATTCTAAAAAAATTGAAGGCTGTAATGGTGATACTGCCTCGGAAACCCAAGGAGGAGTCGCTATGAGTCGGGGGCGACTCGACGGCACATAACAACAACAACAACAACAAGTGGTGAAATTACTGATAGCCTGATAGCTTGTGATAATGCATTCAAGCTCACTTTGCCATCTTTACACAATGCCCAGAAAAAGAAAAATAAAAAAAAAAAGTGTGGGAAACAAAGTTTGAGAGTTATAAGAATGTCTTCTGGAGATTTAGAGATTCTTGAGCTATTACCTTGGATCAAAATGAAATGAGAGATTCTGGATTTGAAGAAACTTCTAAAATTACCCAACATTAAGAGATTATTTTTATCTCCCATTTCCATGAAAAACTGAGGTTAACAGTAATTGGGTTCTTTGTGAAGATACAGCTGTAGTCATCATTATTATGGAAAGATGAAGACCACATTGAGATGGTAGTTTGGGCATGGAGGAATGGGTCTTTGACTTTTGGGAACATCAGCTAAATAGTTTGTCCCTAAATCAGAGTATTAAACTTAAAAAATGTTCCAAATAAATAATTTAAGAATGTATACTACTTACAGATTGGCCCAGATTATAAATTTTAGCCCAGTTTTAATAGGGTAAATTGTAGCAATTTTCAACTAGTTGAATAGTCATGTTTTCTAAAATCGATGGTCTTTCAGTTTATTTGTTGTTGTTTTAAAAAAGATTTATGATAATACACAGTTGTGCCCATCTTAATGGCACAATACCATGCATGAGAGCCCACAGCCCCATCATTCTAAGTGGTTAATTCATATTTCTGTTCTCCTATGGCAACACTTAATAAATGTCTGTTGAATTAATAACAAACAAACTTGAAATTATAAAATATCCCCCTTTTAATTAAAGAGCAAGAACTTGGAGTATCTCAGGGTCTTGACACAGCTGTGTTCTCCTTTTCCTGTGTTCTGTGGAACAGTATGGTACTGGTTGTGGTAGCCATTGCTATCATTGCCCTTCCTTCCTGTTTCCAGCTGTTCTAAGTGGATAGATAGATGCCATGGCATGTGTCTAGTTTGTTTGCAAGAAAGGAGGAGGACTACTGAAGCTTGTCTAATTTTTATAGCTGTTTTCTTATTTATTTATTCTGAGTTTTAGGATTTTTTTTTTTAATAACCAAAATGATAAATTAAGTTTCTGGCCATTATAAAGTTTTTCAAATTTCAAATTCAAAACCCAGTTTTCATTCCATACAGTTGAGATAATAGAAGGTAAAGTAACTATGGTAATTAAGTAATGTTAGATCTGAGTGTTAGTAATGAAATTAACTTTTTCCCCCCTATTTTAAAGGTATTGGATATAGATTCAAAGATCTTGAAAAGATTGACGAGGGCCAAATGCTGATGATTGGTGGAAAAGAAATAGAAGTCATGGGTATAATCTCGCCAGATGACTTCAACAGTGGGAAATGTTTTCAGCTTGGAGGAGGAGGTTCTGCTATCTCAAGTTCTTCACAGCCTGCCAAGAAGTATTTCTCTAGCCCTTTCAAAAATGTCTGTAAACTAGATTCAAAGAAGAATGTACAGAATGATTTCCAGGATTGCAAACCACGCCATGACCCATATGCACCAAGTAAGAATTTAAAAATAATTTGAATATTCTGTTAAAAGATTTTTGGTATGCAAATTTGAGGTTTAAATTTTGTTTTAACATATTCAGTTGAAAGTATATATTATTCTTCAGATTTATAATCTGACCTAAGGGATAATGGTGAAGTTATGTAACAATATGAGCTCTGGTGGCATAGTGCCTAAGGCATTTGACTGCTAACCAGAAGATTGGTGGTTCAAATCCACCAGTCAGTCCTTGGAAGGAAGCTTGGGCAATCTACTTCCGTAGTGATACCTCCTCGGAAACCCAAGGCGAGGTCACTATGAGTCGGATCCAACTCGATGGCAAAGAGTTTGGCGTGTTTTTTTGTATGTTAATTTATAATCCCAAGAATAGAGTATTCAATGGTATTTGTGTATTGAAGGAAAAATATTTAAGTTGTACATGGATGCACACATGCATAATTTTGAATAAAACCTGACATCTTTAGTAAGGAGAAAAATTATTACATTCATGAATCAGAATTATGCTTGTATCTCTGGTTTGAAGACTTTATACCTTGATCACATGGGTTAGTGTATTAAAATAGTGAACAGTGAGATACCATGTAAAGAATTCAAATGTTACCTGTGAAATTAAATCCAGTTCATTTAGTTACTTTATTTAATAATTTATTTTATTCTATTGCTCTTCTTGTTGAGAATATACACAGCAGAACTTCTACCTATTCAGTGATTTCTACATGTACAATTCAGTGACATTGATTACAATCTTTGAGTTGTGCAACCATCCTCACCCACCCTTTCTGCGTTATCCGTCTACATTAATATAAACTCTGTGGCCTGTAAGGTTCCTATCTAATCTTTTTATTTGCAGTTGTCAATTTGATCCCATATAGATAGATCTTAAAAGAGTACAATGCTTAAGGCAGTCATTCTTTACTTAAGCTAACCTGTTGTTTGATTTTAAGAAAACTTAAAGGGATATTTTTAGTTTATGGTTTAAAGATGATCTCAGGGAACAATCATGGGAGAAGGAAGGGCTGCTTATGCACAGGGAGACAGCTCAGGGGGCAGGAGAGTATGGAGGGATGGACACTAGGAAGAGGTAACTATGGGGAGGAAGTGGGAGGGGAGCTGTTGCATTGTGGTAAACTGTGGTCAATGACATGCGACAAAGTATATGTGCACTGCTGTATGGAAAGCGAATTTGTTCTGTAAATCTTCACCCAAATCACAATAAATAATAATAATTTTAAAAATGTTAAATACAGAACTACCATATGACCCAGCAAAAAAAAAAAAAAAAAGATGATCTCAGGGCTGTAGTTTCAGGGGTTTCATCCAGACTCCATGGCTTCAGAAAGTTTGGCATCCAGTAGAATTTGAATTTCTGTTCTGCATTTCCCACCTTTTGTTCAGAATTCTTCTATAGAATCTTTGATCAAAATGTTCAGTAATGGTAGCTGGGCACCATCCAGTTCTTTTGGTCTCATTACAAAGGCAGCAGTTGTACATGGAGGCAATTAGCCACACATTTCATTTCCCCTCCTGTTCCTGACTCATCGATTTCCACTCATAGCAACCTTATAGGACAGAGTAGAACTGCCCCATAGGGGTTCCAAAGTTGAAAGCTTTACAGAAGCAGACTGCTCTTCTGCAAAGTGGGTGGTGGATTCCAACCACTGACCTTTTGGTTAGCAGCCAAGTGTTCAACCACTGTACCATCAGAGCTTCTACTTTTCACATTAATGAATTTAATATTTAAAACCTCATTAAAAAATGAAAGCCTGTTTCTGCCCATTCTTATGTTTAGTTGTCTACCCAAGAAATGTCTTGTGTGATTGTAAAAATTGGTTTTAAATTTTATTGTGATAAAAAATATATAACACAAAATTTTCCATTTTAACTGTTTAAAAATGTAATGGGAAGGGATTAATTTTGGGCTAGTTGGGGCCACACACTGAACTAGGTAAGGGGAGAAAGAGTCTGTGACCACCCTAATAACATTTGGAAAAGGGAGGACACTGAATTGTATGCATAAGACATAAATGACAGAGGCTAATGCCAGTATATCCACAATACTGCATTACCATTAACACCAAATACCAGACTACAGATAAACACATAAACATCTGAGAAGATCAGATGGGGGTCAGTGAACAGGATTATGCTCTAGACCAAGGATAGATTCAGCTGAGGCCAATCTTGCACAGATACCAGTGATACAAAATACCCATAATCCATACAGAAACAACAGAAGACAGACATAGAGTAATCCCTCACAGACAGCCAGACACTGTGGGAGAGAGGTCCAATGGATCTACCAACTCAGTACCATAGTATTAGGGGATACCAGATTCAATTGGCA